AGGAATGCAATCACGTGTTCTTGGCTTCTACCATATGCGAGTCCTAAGTACAGTAGTTACAGTTTAATTTAATCTCTTCCAGTTTTGAAGGGCAAATTGAAACAGAAGTCATTTGGGTAAGCCTTTTTTCTTATTGATAAGACACCTTCACACCCTCTGTGCTTTCTGCTTCAGCTTTACGCCTTTGACATGTGACAGGGCTATTCTAAAGAGACAAAGTTCATACTTCCTATTTGAGTCCACATTTCTAAAGCCATCTGATAAAGCTGCTGCTACAAAACACAACTGACTGGTTTTTGGACATTTCATTCCTGCACTGGGAGCAATCTACAAGGCAACCGAATCCCTCCTAGCTTTGGGATGTCTTCCTGTAAGCCATGCAGCTTTCACATTGCTGCTGTTCAGAGCAGGAGTGCTCCCCATTCTCCTGCCTCCTGCATGCACACAAATTAGTAAGAGTCCTCTCCCGGCCAGACAGTTCTAAATAAGCACATAGATCCCTCTGCAGTAGTTTGGTAAATAAACACACTTAAACAGACAACTCCAAAAAATGCCTGTGACTACTAGTCTCCCATGGACAAAGGGAGGCATTTTCCTTTCACAGGTATTTCTCAGGCAGAGAGCCTTCCCCAGCAACTCATACCCTCTCTGTCAAGCTGAGTTTCTTCCTCAGGTCTGTGCCAATGGCCAGTGCAGACCCTTTCAAAGCAGTTTCCAAAATAGCCAGGCACAGAAAAATAGTTTTCTGGATGGTTAAAGAATACTGAGATTATTCTATGCTTAAATCAATGAAAATGTCTAAGAAGTTTTCTTGAAAGTATCCAAGAGGCACTCCGTTATGTACTCAAACGGAGCAATGAGAAGTTTAATCACTGAACGGGTCTTTTTCAGGAAGTGATAAGTACGCAAGAAAACACAGGCCTAAGTCTTCATTCAGTAAAGCATTTAGACACTCAGCTCCACATGCTTTTAGTGAAGTACTTAAGCATGTGCGAAGTCCCATCAAAGTCAAGTGTTTGCTTAACTTTATTGAGAAAGCGGCTTCCGCTAGGTAGCAAAAACGTGTCATGAACGACGCACGCTCCTGTCCCATGCAAACCAAAGGCCTGGATTCCTACTTCAGCCACTGAAATTACTCCATTGTAGCTGAAGATGTGTAACGCTGGCAGACACTTGGGATCAGAGAGAGATAAGGGTTGAGAGTTTGGAGGACATTCTGGATTGAACCAAATCTCACACAGGAGAGAGCAAGGAGTCATTTCTTTGCAGTCCGACTCCCAGTGGGGCAATGCTTGTTTATAAGTCTCTTTTGTTGACACCAGACTAAGAGCTTTTTACTGCTCCTGCCTCTTGTCCCTTGTTGTTGATGCTGGTTTTGTCTTCCAACATATCATTCCCCGCAGAGTTTGTTACACTCACCTACTGTGACTTGTTCTTAAAAAATTGTTAAACCCTGCGGGCGGGGACAACATCTCCCCTTGTCTGACGCCCAGCACAATATGATTCACAGAACAGTATCTAACCCATCAAAACAATTCTTGCACACCTCCCCCAGTCTCCCTGTACAGACGGAAACTGAACTATACCCATTGGCTTCAGTGGGAGTAGGCTCAGTGTACTTTGATATCACAATTAAAGAAACATTTCCTTTTTGCAAAATTACTTTTTTTTTTTTTTAACCAAAAATCATACTGGTAAGTATCTCTTATTGACAGCTACTTTTCTTCAGCTTCAGAACTGTGAATTTAACTGTACGTGGTAGCTTAAAAATTAATCAAATGCATAAAGAAACTTTATTTGAAATGTTAAGAGGGCACTGAGAGTCAGATGACTCCTAAAAAATTTGCTCTGCACTGCTGTGTTTGTACCATACATGTATTTGTCTCCTGATTCTAAGACTCTTAAATACTCAGCTCATGTCCGCAGGGAGTCCGGCGTAATCATACAGTTCTTCAAGCACTAAGCACTACATGGAACAAGTTCCTAACTAGCCCTCTATACTTACAGCCTGTGGATTGATCCAGAAAGGTGTTGAGCTCACTTCCCCCTGATTTCAGAATCAGATTTTATCGGTTTGACTTCGGCTGACCACCTAAAGCACCACCACGTAGGAAACTTGGATCTCTGAAAATATTTTTAGTTTACTATCTTTTCTGCCTGCCTTTCATTAATTCAAATTACTCTCATTTGCAATATAAAGCATCATATGTAAATTAGTAATCTCAGAAAGTTAAATAAAGTATTTTCCAATAAACATAGTTGAGCAAGGTCTGTAAAGGAAAAAACAAGAAAAAAGAAAAAACTCAGAAACTAGTTTATTATTATTAATTCCTCGTTTACTGAACAATTTGCTAAGCTTTCCATCAGCAGGGTCTTGAAATGAGAATCAGATGCCTTTCTGAATGACAAGCTCCCATTCAGTCACAAGTCACTAGTCACTGAATTGGATGCAAGAACAGAAGGTGGAAGGTTTTCACTGGATTGTTGTGCAGCAAGTTGGACTAGACAACTGTAAAGGCCCTCTAGGATCTTAAAATCTGTGACCATGTATTCCTGAAGTCAATGGCAGATTTAAAATTCATTTAAGAGGGAAAAAGATTAGAATAAACTAAATATAGCCACACAATGTAAAATTACTATGAGTAATGAGAAGGTTTTGTTCTGCTATAAACCAGCACACCGAAAAGTTATAATTCATTGTCTATGGTAGGGACCCAGAGGGTCCCAAAGCTCAAAAAAAATCCTATTATTTTGGCTGAGCCCATCTGCAATCAAACATCCACAGGCTTTGGAAGAGGTCTAACACGGCTTCCAGCAGAGATCCCCTCTTAATATTCAGGATAGATATGGAAATAACGACTCTAGATGTTTGAATTAAAATTATATGCTACATATGAATGAGACAGACTTGCCAGCTGAGGAAAACAAAAATTGCCACTGTTAGCTGTAAGCTTCATGTGTTGCTTTCCATTATAGCCTAGGCAGGGCTACCAAGATAACTGTGCTACTTGTATGCCAAGCTTCATGTCCAGTGAGGTAAATAGGTGCTTAAAATAAACAATTCTGAATGTTAAGTATACTCAGCTGTTCTGAAGAGACTTTTTCTTGACAACATTACAGACTGGGCTAATGCAAGGGAGTAGGATTTGTTGCCATGAAAGCTCCTATCTTATCAGCCACCTCTTATCACGCAGTTTTGTACCACACAAGAGTGTCAGCAGACCATTGGCAATGTCAAGCTGTCACAGATTCAAAAAGCAGTCACCTTTCCCACTGACTATGGTATCACAGTCCTTCCAGTACATTTACTTGAATTCTAAGTTGGGACTCCAGATGGATGAAGCCATAGCCTAACTCTCTACCTGCTGTTTCAACAGCATTACCCAGCCACTTCCCACCACTCCTTCCACCACAGAATCTCTCCTGTGCAAAAATGTCCCAACAAATGACAAATGCCATATTTGTTGCCACAGACTGGATTGTCCCATGAGTCCAACCCTCTCTCCTGAACCTGCATTTGGTGGGGGTATAACACTTTAGCAACACACCCCAAAAGGGAGTAAGAAAAATGCCAAGGAGGCTCTAGACAGAGCACAATCCAGGAAGCCCTTTCCTGTCTGGTCAGGTGGAGCCTGCTTCTTTGCTAGCACTTCTGGTTCCACAAACCAGCAGGGAAAGATGCTGACACAGCCGTGACACATGGAATTGGCTGGTACTGCTGGTAGCATTAACAGTTCCCTGGCGGTTTTTTAACAAAGGACTGCCAAGAGCATATTGTGATAATGCTTCTATGCAGGCCCAAGGTCAGCTCTAGGGAGGGTCTGTTGTAAACAAGGAACTGTAGTTCCATAAAAAGTGCTGAAATGCAACGAGATGCCATTCCCAGCATGTGCTTTAACTCCAAGACACAGCAAGAACAGACAGCAGATGCTACTGCTGAGTGTGGTATGACAAAAGGAAGTAGCCACCTTCCGCTCCTAGCCTTCGTGGGTCTACATTGTGCTTTCTCCCCTTCACTGCCTCACCCCACACCCCTAAGAAAAAAGAACAGCCCCACAAAACAAGTTCTGTGCAACTCAGTCCCTTTTCTTCTGCTGCACTGACTAATATACATATTCATATATTAGGCCAAAATTCTCCTCCAGGAATAAGGGTTTTTCTGCTGATTTACCCAGAGCAACACTCCTGTAATACTTGACCACTAAGGGATGTCAAAGCATCAGCTGTACATACATTTAGGAATTTTTTTTTATAAACTCTTCACACCTGTCACGAGCAGTATACTGGTTCTGAACATAAGCTAGTCTAGCACCAGAAGTACAACTCTCTTGCTTTAGAGTATACCACAAAGACAGAAGACTTGGACTGTATTGGGACCTGGACCGCTCAACATCTTTGCGGCACCCCCCCACTGCAAGCCTCAAAAAGCTCCCAATTTACCGTCTAAAAATTTTGGTACACAGGGAGGGACCTAAAGTCACTAAAAATCCCACAGAGAGCAAGACAGATTAAAGATATCACCTGTGTCCTTGCCATAGTAAGAAATTCATTAGATGAAATTCACAGATCACCCTGTGCCACTGCTTCATGATCTCAGCGATCGAACTTGATTAGCTAGCCATGATTAACTTGGACCTTCAGGTTTTCACCTCTCTTTAGAAACAATGAACAGCTGACATGTCAGTTAATGTTGACATGTGAACCATTAATCATATATGTAAGCAAAGATTCAAGAGTTGTCCTTTATGAAACCTCAGAACCAGGGCTAGCTTCTACATGAGCATTACACTTGAGAGCCCTTTGGATAACTTATAACCCATTCTAGGTAAACTGCATTCCCCAGCTAACTATCGATACTCAGATAAAACAAAGCTCTGCCATCAAATGCCCTAGTACCTTGGAAAGCTCAGATTCCAACCCAATTTGAGATCCAAATTCGGAACTGAAACACCTTATCTATTTAATGTAGAAACAATCTTATCCACTTTTACACATGATTAAATTTATCGCCAAAGGGCCCAAAAGCAAAAATGATAAGAATCCTGTACCAGGCTGCAGGGCGGTATACAGAGCTTTTGAGCCAAATAAGAATATTTTGTGATCCCTCGAGGGACTGAAGTACTCATTCTCTAGCCCAGACTTAATTCTGCACATGATTTGCCCCTGAGCAGTGTATAGGGAAAGTTCACAAACTCTTGGCTCCACAGTACACAGTGAATATGCAACCCTCCCCCTCCCAAGTTTCCCAACCAGCAGCTGCTATGGCACAAATTTCCCTGCCCTGGTATCTCGAGAAGGGGAGAGAGGCAGGGCAAGATTTACATTGAGCTGAGCTCAGAAACAGAACTGGCTTGTAGTCATAGTTCAGAAAAGAAGCAACCTTGACTTATTCCCAGTGATTGCAGACCCCAGGCTGAAAGGCTGTTCAGTTCAAAAAAGAGGCGACCTTGACTTACTCCAAGTTGTTGCAGAACAGAGGCTGACCAGCTAGTCAGGGAAAATCATAACTGAGAAAGAGAATTCTGGGAGAAACTGTGCAAAGATGCCTAGCATATGCAAGAATCACCACCTTCTCCCCTCTGACATGAAGTCGCTTCTTCACAGAAGTGACTTCTTGTACACAGACTTGTGACTTCTTAGTCACAACCGTCAGCAGTTGATCTACGTGACACTTTCATTTTCAATGTATGCAAAACTATCAGTTAACAGATTTTTGATTTCATAGAGTCTTCTAGTTTCTTAACTGGAAACAGAATGAATGTTTTACTTAAATCTCTATTAAAAATCAAAAGTCAGAATTACTTACCGAATTTATGGGTTGTATATATGGATGCTTATATTTGAGTTATATTTTTCAGATCTGCTCTAATTATTTAAATTATCTCTAGTAGAAATGTCTGCATTAAGTCAGTGCACCTTTACTTAAAATAAGTTACCCCAGAATTGCAGCAAATTATTATAAACAGATCCTAAAAAGTAAAAGTAAAGTTACATAGTTATGTTACTCTTTGAATATTTCACAAATAGTCAAAGAAAGAAAAAAATCACTTAGCAAAGTAAAAAATAGTTCTCATAATCTAATAGGTAAAAGCGGTCATGGCAATTGTGCTGATATTAGAGAACTTCAGAGGAAGAAAAGATGACTAGGCAAATAAATAATCAACCCACAGTCCAGGAGCAAACAGAACAGAAAACTGGAATCTTCCTTACCTTTTTACCATTCACAAAGAAGACAAGTTCGTCCCCTGTCCTCTCTGGAGCCATCCTGTACACCTTCCAAAATTCACTCAAACAGGGTCACAGATTACCCCTCTGAGAGCAGCACTACACCCCACAGAAAGGCGAGCACCGGCAATGCAACGACAAGTACTATGAGCCTGTCTTAATGTTTGACTTTATTTCTACATCAGTACCCTGTGAAACCCGACATTATATAAGAGCCAACACAGAGGCGTGCCAGCTGCCTTTGGTTGGTGCTTCTGCAGCAGTAATGACAGAAAAGGAGTTGGACTGAACAAACTGACCCGCCCCCTTTTATATAGCAATAGATCAACTTGAATCACAATTCAGTCACGTTCCCTTTAGATTATGCTGCCAAGCTCAGGGCACTCAGAATGTGCCACCGCCACAGCTGCCAGGAATTCACGATATTTTGCAGCACAATGCAAATGCCAGGGGAGGGGGAGCAATTCTCCCAGCTACCCATCCCTGAGTATTAACAAGAAGAAGTTCTCTTTCC